TATAAGATCTGTATGGCATTATTGCTTACTTTATTTCTTTTTCAGCACTTTCAGCAAGTGGGCCGGTCTCTTTTCTGCCTGGGTTTGTTAATACGTTACAGTAGCTCATTATTGCATGCATCTGTTTCCAGTAACAACTTACATGTTTCTAGCAGCCTCAACCTATTTAAGAAATATCTTCAGGCCGAAGACTTTGTCATCAAGGTCCGCTCATTGCAGGTGAGACTTCCTATTTCCTTCAAGTCCTGCATGTATGTCATAATCATCACCTATGCAACTATGTTACTTTCAGGCACTGGGCTATGTTTTTATTGCTCGCCCTGAATGCATGCTGGAAAAGGATGTAGGAAGAATTTTGGAGGCCACACTTTCTTCTAATACTGATACACGGCTCAAGGTAACTTCTTTTCTTCTTGTTTCACACTTATGATATGCTGTATACTGAATCATTTGTCGGCCAGATGCAATCTCTGCAAAACATGTATGAGTATCTTCTTGATGCTGAAAGTCAAATGGGAACAAATAATGCAAGCGAGAATGAAGATGCTAACACAGCAGTTGGTGGCCCTAGTGTGCCTGTTGCTGCAGGGGCTGGTGATACCAACATTTGTGGAGGAATAATTCAGTTGTATTGGTCTAAAATCTTAGAAAGATGCCTAGATGTGAATGAACAAGTGCGTCAGTCTTCTCTTAAGGTAATTCCCTAATTTTTTAGTTTTCGTTTCCAGTAAAAAATGATTCATTAAGCTGCTCGTATGGATTGCACTCACTCCCACTTAGGGGAAATTTTAGTGTAAGAGCCGGTCAGTTTACTGCTGGTGTTCGTTTACCTGACTACGTGATCCTCATTTATGCGATTCTAATTTCTAAAGCATGGATTATCTATTGTCGAAGTTATGTCAATCCTTTTACCCATTCGAACTACAGGGTAGATTCCTACTCTAATCAACCTCTGATTTTGTTCAAGCAGATTGTGGAAGTTGTACTGCGTCAAGGTCTTGTTCATCCTATTACCTGTGTTCCCTCTTTGATAGCTCTTGAAACAGATCCGCAGGAGGTGAACTCAAAGCTGGCTCATCATTTGTTGATGAACATGAATGAGAAGTACACTCTCTTTGTTGTTAGAGTTATAGAATTACCTCTTGATATTGATGAGTTTATGTTAACTTTGCTGTTTTTTTTTCTAGGTATCCATCCTTCTTTGAGAGTCGTCTTGGTGATGGTCTACAAATGTCATTTATGTTCATACAAGCCATGAATAAAGGTGATTCTCAAAGTTTAAAACCCCAGTCCAAAGCTCCAGGTATCATATCAGGGAAGTCAGAGCCTGGCTCATTTACCCATGCAAGGCTCGGGGTATCTCGAATCTACAAGCTCATCCGTGGAAATCGTATTTCAAGGAACAAATTTATGGCCTCAGTTGTGCGCAAATTTGATACGCCAAGCTTGGGTGATTTAGTTGGCCCATTTTTGATGTATGCACCAATCTGGAGTACAAAACCTGAGTTGGTTACTGTTTCAATATTTACTTTGTTTGTACTAATCTGGACTATTGATATTGAATTATATTTTTCCTCTTCCAGTTACTGCACTGAAATTCTTGCTTCGCTTCCATTCACATCGCCTGATGAGCCCCTTTATTTGATCTATTCTATAAATCGGATTATTCAAGTTAGGGCTGGCACGGTGGAGGCAAATATGAAGGGATTTTTACAATTCTTACAAGCAGGCTATCAAAAATTAAATGGAAGTGGGGGCATTCAAACAGAGTCTAATCAACCTATTAGGTGTCAGACTGAAACAATGGTTGCCAGCACAAAAATTGAGGAAGTGTTGGAAGGTGACCATGTTGGTGTAGATTATGGATCAGTGGAGCCATATATGCCCCATTTGGCATCATTAAATCCACATGGCATATCAAATACTGATTTGCAGATGATCCAGGTATGCTCTCTCCATCAAACTGAGTCTTATGAGCATGGTGTGGCGTTGCATGCAGAGCACATGAGATTTGTCACAAGTTTAACTGTTGTCTTTTTTATAGGCCACATGTCCCTCCTAACATTCATCACTGATAGCTGATGAGTTCTTTTTTGGTTAAGTCTCTTTTTCGATTCTTGTGTTTAACAAATATGAGTATTATACAGGTGGAGTGTCTGGCAGCTGGTGCTTTACAGTTACTTCTGAGGCTAAAGAGGCACCTCAAGATTCTGTATGATCTAAATGATGCCCGTTGCCAGGTTTGGCTTTCTGAATTGGCTGTTAGTTGTGCATGAGACTATGTAAATGAACCCTTGGCGGCATCTCGTGATACTTATCTCATATTGGTTGTTCATCAGGCATATTCTCCAAATGATCCCCTAAAACCTGGGGAAAGTCTTTCAAAGCAAAGTCTTCCTTTCAATGTGAATGAAATTAACATTGAGCACCCAAAGAATTATGAAGACTTTGTCCAGAGATATCAGGTAACTTGAGTGCAGTAACATATGCTATGTATGTCTCCACCAACGTTCATATTTGATTCTCTCTGATAGTTTTCTGATCTCGAGAACAAACATATTCCATTATGTGTTGCTATATTATGCCTTGACAAATTATTCACACATTTATCTGCTGGATGATTTGCCACCCTATACTTTTGAGGCTGTCATGGTTAAATATGTGAGACTTGTCTTTCATTTCTGCACTCTATTTTGCATATGCATTTATTTGTTTCTTGCTGGTGTTGCATATCAAGGGCATGCAGTTTGTAATTTGGCTTATTCAAGTAGATAAGCATTTTATATGATCATGTGACATTGGTCGCCACCTTCCATTTTTAGCATTTATTTCATTTTTTGTTGGTAGGAATTCAAGAATGCCTTGAAGGAAGATACAGTGGACTATGCAATCTACACGGCGAACATTAAAAGGAAACGCGCTGCTCCAAGAAGAAGCAGGAAATCTGGTCGAATGATGGGTGGTTGTGAGGATGAAGAGTATGAAGAGGATGAAGATTGGGGTAGTGGAATGAAGAGTAGTAATAGTGGCAGAAGAAGCAGTAGCAGGTTAAGGCAGCACTTGTGAATGTAAGTAAATACATAGAGGTAACACTAACATGTACAGTATGCATCTATAGAAGTTAGAGATGATACCTATGATGCCAGGAGTAGAAGTTAATGCTGTATTGGAGTGTTCCAGTACATGAGTAGTGATGTGCTCCATTTAGAAGTGCATGATGCTTGGAGGCATGAGTTTTGGTGTAGCAAATTGAAGCTCAATGAGTTGGGTGTAGGTTTCGGACTTGTATTCCATTTTATATGTATGTACATTCTAATAGATTCTGATCTCATTTGGAAATGAAATAACACCATTGTTTGGAACAGTGCTTTGTGAAATAGTATGATAACTAGGAAGAAATTGTCACCCGGAATAATACACAGATCGTTTATGTGGTATAATTTCAACTTTGCGTCCATGGTGTTGATTTGGTCTTCGTGACAAGTAGTAATGCAGTGGTGTTCGGATCTGGGCTATTCTTCATGTGTTCGTTCGGTAATAACGATTGCTTTTGACTCGCTCTTCTCCAATAGCCATCCATATTTCTGTTGTCAGTATATCACTTTTCCAACCGAAATTTTTTATCAAACCAAACGAATCCTCCATTAATTTTTGACACATGAATAAGGGGTCATTTATGTATGTACTTTTCTACTTCAAAACAAACAACTTTTTACAACTAACAAGAGAGACGAGTTGAATAAATATAAAAATTATTTGTCTGCTATTTTTTTAATCATTTGTGGAATTATATCACATATATTATTGTTGTTGTAGTTGTATGTTAGTTTGACTAATTTATTTTGATATGATTTTTTTTGTGTATTCATATTTGTTTTTAAAAAATCAAAAAATCTTTCATAATTATTGTGAATTTAAAATATAGTCATTTTATTATAATTGTTACTATATGAAATGTTGCTTTTACCTTAGACCTTTTGAAGGAAAGTAAAAAAAAAGTTAATTATATTATTATTGTGGAGATGATTTTGAAACAAAGTATCGCTATTGAAAGAAATAATTTTTAAAAAGATCATTATCCTAATAACGTGTTTTCAGATCAATTTGTGTAAAATAGTTAATGTAGAATGTATGATTTAATATAGTTTATATTTTATTTTTATCATCATTACAATTTTGATCATTGAATTTTTTAATATAATAGTATTTAAAATATTCTCTCAAGTACATCTTGTTTATTTTAATTACTAAAAATATTCTACGATTATTATTAGATTTGTGAAATAATAAGTTATTTTTATTTAATGATGGCTAGATATAAAAAGAGAATCAAGATCTGAAAAACTAAGTTTTTTATTTCTTTTCAACACCAACAAAGATGTCATCTTTTTTTAAACATCAACAAAAATGTTAATTTTTTATTTTAAAAAACCACATTCAGTTTGAACATCAAAATATGTAATTTTGATTTTCAATAAAACTATCAAGGCCATGATTTTATTTAAGAAACAACGTTACAAAGAATTGCTTAAATGAGCATTCAACAAGTATAAAATGTGGATCCTACCGTCAATTTTTATTATATTTTTATAATTATTCAGTGAATTGTATAATATCTGATGAGATACATATTAATTATAAATACTATTTTACTTTTTTGTTATTTTAATTTAGGTGTAAAGTACATAAATGGACTCACTTCTCCATATGTTAAAAAGTAAATGATGCTCACACACCTTTTGTTGGTTGTGCCCCTACCAAGATACACTTTTCCCTTTGAATCCACTTTTTCTTTTTTGGTACATAATTTGAACTTCATTTAATCGGCTAGATTAAACCCAACTAACACTTTTTTGACCCTAACATGTGAAAATTTACCACGATTCCAATTCAATAATTTGTAAAATCTATTTTAGATCCGTCTCTATCCGTTCTTACCTAGAATTAAAGATCTTGAGTGATTTAGGAATGTGAATATAACACTTTTTAGTAGGAGATGATTTACCGTTAAACCTTAATATATACATACTAGGTAAGAGTTGTCAGTACAAACACGGGTTCAACGTTGCAATATTTTGTGAGTTGAATGTGTAATGATAGTGCATTCATGGAGACATGCGTGTGCGCATATATATATATATACATATATATATATGGTTGACAGTTGCTTTGTTTGTTGTCATGACTGTCTCTTACATTCATTATTAACATTCTATAATATTAACATAATGCTACATTTTATCCTTTTTTCAGTATTATTCAACGCCAGAAAGTATGCCTGGAATAAGAGGAAAAGATGAATTTAGTATAATTATGGGAGGAGTAAATGTGGAGTATGATTGCAAGATTTAAGTACCTGACGGTTTGCAAGAAATAGCAACAAAGTCCACACTATCAACAACAAAAGTGTCCGCTGAGTAGACGCCAGTAATATCGGGGAAAAATAGTATATACTAGACTGATAACAAAATGAGAAAACCATGAGTCATTGAAGAAATAGAGCATTAAAAAAATATATGCTGATTTAGTTAGGAATAAGGGAAATGTTGTCATTCAAATCTAGCTTGGCATATAACTTTGAGAAAACAATATGGGTCCAAAAAAATAAAAGAAAAAGCAAATGAAAGTGTAAATATTGAACAAAATATCAGCAAGCATGTGGGTTGTCCATGGACAGTATATCCCATACGTCCCTCCACAGTTGTAAGCCAAGTTACTGAAAAGCAATATGTGAACAATTACGTCCACAATCAATGACAATTTTAGAGTTAATGAATCATGATACTAGCTAGACTGTTTTCATTAACAGTTAAGAAACACAACCTCAAGGTATTTTTTTATGATCACTAGAGAAAAGACTCATTGGACAAGTTATTATATACCCTATTAAACAACAAGAAGAATCAATCAGTAGCAGCAGTACTAGCTACTATCATCCAGTCCCCAAACACCAGCCTCGATCACTCTGATATTACATACCTAGCTCATTCACCAAGCCAAGTTGAATGGTTGGTATATTGAGGTACATACATTAATAATGTAAAATTTAAAACTTTTATATGATATGCGCATATGTGTGTTCATGAAAATAGATTTAAGTGGAATAAGAAGTGGCTCGGTTGAGGAAGCACATGATATATACAGAGGATATATATGAAATTGCAGTAAAACTTATGTGTCTCGATGCATCAGATGTCAATCCTACCGTAACAGCCTAACACTTGTTTACGGAGTGATTAAATCAATCAAATTCACTAATCTAGCATGCATCATGGTAGACATATATAGTTATTGAAAATGTTAAAGGTAAAGTTACCCTTGAGATTTCCCCCCTACTACAGATACATTGTTGTAGAATTAATATCAAAAACTTGTATTGTGTGTTGTTTTCTAACAAATATTTTTTATATAAATGTCAAAAAATGTCTAATCCTCTTGACCGACTTCCTTGCCGTAAATATAACACAAAAACATGAAAAATTAAAGACAATGAATGATATGGTTGAAGGTTTTGAGAAGCGCTTCTATATATTCATTCTTTTTTAAAACTGCTTTTCATGGCCTAGTGCCAAAGTAATCAGATTTTGCAAAACCTTTAAAAATAACTCCTCACATATAAAGTTATAAATGTTAAATCATACATATATATATATATATATATATATATATATATATATATATATACTAGATGTGTTGCTCGTGCGCGCACGAGCCCAATATGTATTAGGTAATAACTATTCATAAATACTGATAATGACGACAATTGGGAAAAAAGTTCGTAATATTTTCACACATTTGTTTACCTATTGCACTGCTATTCTGTTTACATAATTATACAAAAATATAGCAGAGTAGATGTCAACTTGACGTAACACTGCAGTTGGTAAAATACCTGCAGTTATATGAAGTGATGTTTTTCAGTTGGGAATGTGCATTGTGGTAAGAATAGAGCATGGTTGATTGTGAAATACCTTGTTAGTTGATGAATCTTTTGTTCAACATTGTTTCAGTTTTTCATAAAAGACTGCATGTGCAATAACGTAGAACGCTGAAGTTTAAGTTGCCGCAAAACTCTGGAAAACTGAAATGTGAAAATAGGAATGAAAGATATTATTCTAGCAATGTAGCAGTATATTTAAGTGAAGAGGCACCGTACGTACATATAAAGCATAGAAAGTAATTGACATAAAAGAATGACAATAATCCAGTTTTAAGATAATTCTTTATGTTGTTAAGCTATTATACAGTTGAGCTTGGAGAAATAGTGTATAACAACTTTTTTTAAAAAAATTAGTAAGAATTGACGAACAAAATTGAATAATAACTAATATCTTCGCGAGGAATTACGAAATAATTTAACCCTTCAGCCCCATTGTAATTTTATAACAGAGATAAAGAAAAAAATTATTGCCTCTTTGAAATTCACCTTCAAAAGAAAAGATCAAAGACCGAGCAGAGGGGGAAAGTGAAAGAAGAGAAGTTATAATTTTCCATTACCAACAAATTAAGGTGTATTTGTGATTCCCCATTTTTTTTGACGAAGGTGTAGCTTTGGTGGCACATTTGTTTTCAAAGCATTTGACGCAATGTCATGAAATTTCCGGGAATATTTGTATCTTATTTGAATAGCCTGATGTATGAATGATATCATCTTAGCAAGCCATAGAGATTTCTATTTTTCCAAACTGAAGATAACTTTTTAAGAATCTCATTATTAAATGAAAAAAAATGTTAGCCCTTCTCCTAGAAGTGAGCAACACATAAGAAAAAAAGAGGAAAAAGAAGAAGAGGCAGAGAAGACACATTTTTTAGTCCCTTTTGATTAGTAAATTGTGAGCAAGACGCAGAAGCAAGAGCTACAATAAGGACAAACGGAAAGAGAAGGCAAGTGCACTTGTTGTAGTCCTCAAAAGTTTACTACAATGAGATTTATGCGGAAGAATTGTAACAAACTGAATAAATGAAGCATGATGAATAATAGATTGTGATTACCTGATTTTTTTTTATATCTTGGTGCAACAGTATCAACATTGGGCAAATAAGTTTTTTAAATAGAATCTTTTTTTTGTTGCTTATTACGCTTTTATATGACATACCAAGGTTCTTGCAAGGATTATAAGACCTATGTTGTTCCTAGTAGTATAGTCTATTTGGTTCAAGTATTAATGTCGAGACTAAGTTTTAGGTCTCCATGATTCTGCATAATTCCAACAATTAGAATTCCATATGTTATTAGTATATTCAAAACATATGCAGATCAAAAATTATAGATTTCGAATATAAAAATTGAAGAGGGAGATAAAGAAGTGAGAGATTTTTTACCTTAAAATTGCAGTTGGAAAAGATGGAAGGCAAAAGGTTTCGGAGGCAAATGCTTTTAATAGCCTCTTCATCTTCAATGGAGGAGAACAATCTGATAAATTGAGGAGAACATGCGTGGATGTCACGTATAACAAGAAACTTTGACCAAAATAAGTCATTCTATAAATCAATATATCAAAATAGTGTGTTTTTAATTTTTTTTACAAAATTAGTATAAACGTGGTTCACAGTAACGTTTTATGTTTTATTTTATTTTAAAAAATTTAATGGAAAAAAAGAAGCAAAAGTTTACGGAGCAAATATAATTAAAATGTTATTGACAATAACGTTTTATACTTCGTTATCTCGAATCACGTTTTAGAGCTAAAACGTTACTCAAAGTAACGTTTTATATTTTAGTACTGTAGACACGTTTTATTCAGTCACGGGCTCTGCAATTAAAGAATCGAATCCTGTAGTTTACAGATTATAAAACGTAACTGATAATCACGTTTATTATATAAATTGTAACTGTCAATCACATTTTATGTATATTTAAACGGGGCATCGGATTAAGAATAAAATCCTGCTACATTGAAATCTTACAGATCATAAAACGTTGTCGTTGATCACATTTCTACATTAAATCGTGACTATCAATTACGACACTATGTTAAAGTCAATTTTTTTCATTTATTTTACTGACGACAAACGGTTATAAAATGAACCTTGTTGAAACAAATGTTCTATGAACTCCAACAATATTCATTCAAAATTTTGTTTGTATAGCCCAATTTTGAAACAATATTTACAAAGGTATGAATTAAATAAGTCAAGTCAATATATCATATTGTGTTATTATTTTTACCATAGCTTTCAAATATTTTTCTAATTTATTACTTAGAAAGATGACTTATTTTTATGTACAGGAATAAAAATGGCAAATTTTGAACATAATGTGATGGTTGCTTTGTACTGGGGTGGCGAAATAATTACTGAAATGAACGGATGCAGGTATACTGAATGTGCTAGAATGATTATTAACATGTATACTTCAATGAAGTATGTTGAATTGGTTGAATTATTGCATGAGAAAATGGGTACAACTAGTGAAAATATTCAAATGGATATTTCGGGAAAATATCCTTGTTCAATTCAAGGTAACCATACAAGGTTTATTGAGTTTAAAATTGATGATGATCAATTTTTGCTACAATTTTTGGTTATACCTCAAAACTTTGCGGATAAGATTGACATAAATGTTTTGGAAATGTATGTAAAGACCAAATCAACAAATCAAAATGATATATTTCAAATTAGTGGTCAACATGGTTATCACATGAATTTATTGTCTCAAAATTATGGATTTGCCACGGTTAGTCAACCTCATTATGGAGAGTCAATTGCTCAACCACCATTTCAACAATTGTTAATGCATGACCAACGATCATTTGGCGAAGGTTCAAGTAGCCAAAGGCATGTTCACAATAGTCCGAGAAAATATGAGGGCATGTAAAACAATAAATTTATGTTTTAATGAATTTTAATATAATTAGTTGATAACACAATTTTACTCATTATAAATATACATACATAGATAGATAGTGATATTTTTTGTGATTAATTACCTTAACTTTTTTAAGGAATAACCTTATGGAGAATAAATTACTGATTTTAAAACAAGTTTCTGTGTATAATAATTTTCTAAAATTTAATTGAATTTCTTTTTCCACAGAGAAAATGAGAACAATGTTGACCCATATAGTGATGTAAATGCTAAAATTAGTGAAGATAGTTCGGAGGAAGATGAACTTTCAAAAGATAATGGTGAAAGAGAATCAGATGAAGATATCAATAATGCTAGAGATTTTTCTCAAAATGACATTGGTATAAATCTGCCTAATCAATTTGAAAGGGATGTGTCTGAAGTGCAAAATGATGTACCCTATTTTAGAACATTAGATAACGAGGAAGACATTCATGTCTATATGTGAATCTGAGATGGAGTATTGTTCCGTCTGGTCTGAAGATGGCACAAAAGATTTGAAAAAAGGCATGTTTTTTAATAGTAAAGAAAAATTAAAACGAGCTGTGACAATTTGGAGTTTGAAAAAAAATAAAGAATTCAAGGTGGTGACATCAAACAAGAGTTTATGGGTTGCAAGATGCAAGTTTCATACTTCATTGGGTTGCTTGTGGTCTTTCCGAGGATGAAAGGTTGGAGATAACCTTTGGAAAATAGGAAAATATATTGAAAATCATAGATGTGAGACTGAGGGGCTTTCTAGAGGTCATGTCAATCTAAATACCAATTTAATTGCATCTTTGATTCTTAATCAAATTGAAAAAAATCCCAAGGTTTTGGTGGTAGATGTCATTTCCAAGGTTCACGAAAAATTTGGTCATCAAATAACATACAGAAAAGCATGGCTTGGACGTCAACGCACATTTGAATTGGTGTATGGTGACTTTAAGAAATCATTTAGTGACCTACTTTTTTGCAGCTTTTCAACACTTTAACCATGGAACAGTTGTGGAATGGAAACACGAAGAATCTATGAGTTCATTAGAGGTAAAAACTTTTAAATATGTATTTTGGGCTTTCAAGTCATGCATTGATGGATTTCAAACATGTCGCCTTGTTATTTCAGTAGATGGAACTCATATGTATGAAAAATATGAGATTAAATTATTGATTGTTGTTGGAATTGATGGAAATGATAATATTCTTCCTCTAGCGTTTGTTATTGTAGACAAAGAACCGAAAGAAGCATGAAAATGGGTTTTTAAGAATTTGAGTGCACATGTCATAAAAAATAGAGAAGACATTTGTGTTATATCTTATAGGGAAAAAGGAATATTGACAAGTTTGCAGGAGTTGCGGCGATTTGAGGAGCCTCGAGTCTTCCATCGATATTGTATAAGGCATCTTAAGAGTAATTTTCAATCTCGATTTCCAAACAAGGATCTTAGTAGGCTGATGTGGAGGGCTACTTTAACCCGTCAAGTAAGAAAATTTGAGTCCTTGATTTGGCAAATTAGAGAAGAAAATGAAGATGCATATGAATATCTTATGGAAATTCCCTTGGAGAAATGGACGGTTAGCCATGATGGTGGTAAAAGACGGGGAGTATTGACAACAAATCTTTCAGAGTCGTTCAATGGAGTGTTGAAAAAAGCACGTGGCTTGCCGGTCACTTCTATGGTCAGACTTTCATAAGAGCAAACTGTTGAACGATACACTCGTAGGCCTAAAAAAGTGCAACAACTCCTAGAACAAGATGAATTGTGGACCGAAAGGTTCAAAATGAAGTGGGAGAAGAACTATGAAAGTTCAAAAAGGCACTTTATTTTTTATTGGAATATACCCACAGGGGTATATGAGGTTAGATCTGTTCAAGTTAATGGTAATGGTGGTAATCCTCATTGTGTTTCACTGAATGAAAGAAAATGTGATTGTGGAAAATGGATTAATTTGCATTTCCCATGTTCACATGTCATGAAGGTTACTGATAGAATGGGAGAGCTAACTAGAAACTTTGTTAGTGAACATTTCACTGTAGAGAATTATGTTGCAACATATTCTGGGTCCTTCTCACCGGTTGGCCATAAGGTGTATTGTCCATCTCCTAATTTTAGAATGGAAAGTAATGAATTCTATCGTCGTCTCAATCGATTAAGGAATAGTAGAATACCCAATGAGATGGATCGTGGTGCTGCTGTATATGAGCGAGCTTGTGGATTATGTAGACAAATCGGGCATCATAGGCGTCGATGTCCAGATCGTAATTAAAATTAAGTGGACAATTGTTGATTAGTTAGCTACTGTAATGTAATTCAAATAATAATTAAGTTTTTGCCTTTTGTTGTTTAGTCTGGACCTTATGCAGTTGTAATTTCATCAAAGTGTTGCTTAGGTAGACAGAAACATAAGAATAGTGCGAAATAGGCGACCATAGTTCAATATCTGCAAAATGAGATACTTCTATCGACTATAAGAAAATGCAAATGAGATTTGCGCTTGAACACCGTTCAATATCTGCAAAATGAGATACTTTTATCGATTATAAGAAAATGCAAACGAGATTTGCACTTAAAAAAATGTCTACAAGTACGTCACTTTTTATTGCTTAAAAAATATTATCTAAAAATTTTGAGATATAAAAATCAGAATTCAAAATATACAAATCTTTCTTATTAACTCCCGTCCCTGTTCCATAATCCTCAAGTCGTGGAACATTGATGTAGGAATTATTGAGTTTGGATTCAATCTCATTATTTACAAATCTATCTGAATGGACTGCTCCATTTGTTTGAGAGTTCCGTATATTCATTTGTTAATTGTAGTTGTAATAATCCGAGTGCTCCTTATTCTTCAACTTGTTTATGTCAGATATTTCATTTAAGAAAGATTAGAACATGTAATTTTCATCGATATTCTCATTTAAATAAAATGTATACAATATATTTATTGTTTCATATGTAATGTCTTCCATTAAAAACTGCTCCACGAATTCTAGATAACTACACGCATTTGCACTCAGATGACCTGAAATATGATGGTTGTTCTCGCAATGTATTTGATGATCAATCGTAGTCCTGTGGCTTAATGGCAGAACAAGGCAACAATACTTGATCAAAACAAGGGAATTTGCGCACATGGGACCGTCGCAATATTTGTTTGTTTAATTCGAAACTGCTTGGGAATCTTGTGTGGTTTGATCATCTTCACCCATTTCAATAGGTGCTCGACCTCTCTCAACAGCACGTACCTTCCTACCTGCAACACCACCTTTTCCTCGCCGAATAGGAGGATGCAAATGGTCATACATTAGCTCCTCTCTTCTATAATTTGCTTGAACATGAATCATATCTGCGTCTTGCACATATGCCAAACAATTAGATCCTTCATCCCTCACTATTGCACGAAACTCGTAAAATTCCTCCATTGATGAATTTTCATCGAGCGATATTGCTTTATTAACATCAAATGAATATGACGCACCTGTCCAAAATAACAAAACTTCCCTCAAAATTCAAAAATTAACCCATTTAGTCCATCGAATAAAATTTGACAGAGAATCAAACATCTAAGATGTTTTGAACATGACTCGAATAAGAATGAAAAATCCATAGACGAATACATCCACCTAAATGGAAAATATTGGAACAAGAAAAACGGTACTCAACAATCTAGATTCTAGCTATAGTTCGGAAGAAATCATTTATGCTCCCACATTAATAAGCTAATATCAAACTCACCATTATTTCGTATGTCGTCGCATTAGGCACGTAACCTTGTTGTTGTTGAGGACTCGAAATAGGATTACCAATGATAAAACGAGTAATACGTCTAAACCAAATAAGGTAGGGATCATTATACAGAAGTTATCAATGAAGGATTGATGCATTCCATACATATTGGTCAATATGGTTCGAACCATTGTGCATGCTCTAAATCCCAATTTGTGTTTGATCTTCCTCGACGATCATGGTTAAAATGTGTAGCGTCAAATGCAAATGAAGATGGTATCGCTTGTACCAATCCAAATTGCCTCATAACTCGATCGGGTAAATGAACCTCAACAACATCCCAACAAAACATTGGAACTCTAGCACGCCATATGTCTCTTCCAACGCGATAATATTCGGGAAGACTCTCAATTATGTCAGAAGAATATGGTTCCCAAATAAACTATAAAAAAGTATTTACAATTACAATATATACGAAAGTTAAGAGAAAATTAGTACAAAATCTTACCTGATCTTTTGTCATGGAATCCAGCGCATTGCTAAAAACTCTTAACACGTGTTTGGTAGTGTCGGTCAAACTAAAATGTGCATACCATCTAGCAGCATGTGGACCCCTTGGTAAACCACCGGGGAAAATATTCCTTGTATCTCTTTTTTCTACAATCTGAGGCCTAAGGACGGTAACTCTCTCCCATGCCCAAATTTGAACATAATAGATGATTATAAACTAGATAAAATTTCAATAAATACTAAGTGTAATTATTGAGTATACCTGAAGTAGTGGTAGGAATCCAGCAATCTCATTTTAGCTACTTTGGGAGGCTCTACAAAGAAAACGATACAAATATGCTAGGGTTACACTACCCCAACTGTAAGACCCTACTGTAGTGATATTCTCCATCATAGGCAAGTACATAAGCTTTAAAAGACCACACATGTGTCTGCCAATAGTAAACCAGCAATCATCTAAAACATATAACACCTAGCTTTCTCATTGACCATATCCGGTGTTACCAAGTCGGGTAATCGTGGTTGAAGTGGCAAGTGTGCATTAAGCGCAGAAACCTTGAGACTACTATGTTTAAAGTCTTGAGGTTGTGGACTAAAACCTAATAATCTTTGACAAATATTTTGCCAATCCACAACAGAACTTTGTGGCTCATACCCAACTACCGCATTACCTTTCACGGGTAAGCCATACAATATCTCCACAGCCTGTAAAGTGATCGTACTCTCACCCGTCCTAAAGTGGAATGTATGAGTATCAGGCCGCCATCTCTCAACTAGTGCGCTGATTAAGCTACGATCAATAACAGGCCTATTAGACCTATAAACACCATATAATCCAGATAGTTTAATCACACCTAGGACTCGTGGGTGAATGAGATGTTCATTTACAAGGTCCCAAAACTTCCCATCACATTTCCTTGTGTTCAAAATCATATTATCATTTCCTATCCATATATCTCGTGACCTATGAGTGAGCTGTCCAATTAATACAGACGGATCAAGTGGACCGGGATCCAATTGGTATGCATTATTAGCAGGCATAAAATAAATACCTATACAGAAGTAAGAATACAACGTAACTTAGAAGCTTTCCTCAATCCACTATATGTAGCATGCTGCACTAGCTAGGTTGTTTACAACAACAAAATCCAAATATTTTGGCATGACATTAAATTGATCAACCACTAGGTTGCTTCTTGATGAGTATAATTAGCTTTTGGACCACTGTAATATTAAAGATGAGTTTTAATTTTTTACTACAACTGTGGTCATTCAACTTTAATGTTTTTTAACATTAGTTTTAATTGGTAGTATGAATAGCAACAACTATAGCAGTTGTGACAGTATATACATATAGCAACCTACAAGAATCACAATTCAGAGACCGACAAATATTTCAAACCATACATTATTTACTCTAATTTTTACGACCAGACAGCCCCCTACACATGCACACTCCACAAAATAATTAATACGATCCGTCTGTCTCATTTTACTTGATCACTATAAGTGTCTGTTCTAACAAATCAATCCGTTATAAAGTCTTGCTTATGTTTTAAATTGATATTTATTTTTAAACAGCTCATAATGTGCAAGAGCTGTTAAATAGATAAAGAAAGACATCTTTATTTGTCTTTTTACTTTAATTAGCAGAAACATAATTTTCTTGCATTTTCCTTAATTAGCATGAAGTCAAAGTATAATTACTTTCGAATATTAAAATCAGTTTAAAACTTCAGTGTTTGAAGTAAAATATAGTGGTTGTAAATTATGTTTACATGACAGAAGTAATCAACTTCACATGAGCACAACAATTTACTGCCTTCACTTACCAAAGATTTTGTAAGAGTGGCAGGGGTTAACCTACATCAACACATTAAAATCTGATTTTTTGACCAAAATAAGTCATTCTATAAATCAATTCATGAAAGGAAAATAACAAATTCATCAACTATAAGATAAACTAAATCAATGTATGACAAAATTACCTTAATCACAAAAAGAACTCTTCTTTATCAAAGTTTTTTTTTTTACCTTTTTTAAGCAAATCTGCAGACGTTCTCAAAGTTTTGAAATTTCACCTCCAATCTTTTGCAGTGTCTTTAAACTACAATACTCGATCAACGCTCTCAAATCTCTTGTATAGAGCAAACCGATTTCAAATTGAGTAAAGATTTAAGCATCAACTATGGAAGAGCAAGAAGATGGTGGTCTTCCAAATTCGTGCAGTCTTCAGATACAACATTCATCAACTTCATTGTGCCTTTGAAGCGAGATTTGATGCTAGTTCTCTTCATCCCCTGTAACTTGAAGGTAGGTTTGGAGAATGAAGTGGGTTTCTTCCCCAATTTTAATAAACTAAATTAGGGGGGTTTTGTTCTAGTGCAGGCATAAATTATATATGTTTAAAATGTTATTCCCAATAACGTATTAGAGTTAAAACGTAATTTTCAGTTACGTATTATTATTTAACGTCGTTAGCAGTTCGTCCCTTTTCTCATTAAAATTTTAAAATAAATAATTTTTTAAAAAATAAATAAAGTATAAAATGTTCATGTGAACCACGTTTATACTAGTTTTGTAAACAAAATTAAAAACATACTATTTTGGTGAATTGATTTATAGAATGACTTATTCTGGTCAAAAGCGCCCCATATAACAAAGATTTGCAACATAACCACGTGAAATGAGATGGAGATAGGGCAACAAATTGAGATGGCGAAAATACCCTCAATTAATAAAAGAATTTACCATCAACAGACAGGTTGATACCTGATATGCTACTGACTCTTCTAATATAGTATTAGATGGGTGATGGCCCGCCAACATAGTTGACAAATCGGAATGGAAGGAAATTTCATGTTTTTATCACTTGAAAAACTAAAATTTGTACAGCTCAATAGAGCATATAATAATCACATAAATACAGAGTCAAATATGGTTATTTTCTAATACCGTAGTCAAACCAAAATACATCTCATCTCCCTAAACAATATATTTAACACAAAGGAGAGCTCCAAAGATTTGTTGATGGTCATTGTCACGATCCAAAATAAGTCGTGAGTGGCACCCACGCTTACCTCTTTAGGTGGGCGAACCAACACATCTTAACCCAACATATATCAATAGTTCAACTATAAATATTATAAATAATGCGGAAGCTCCAAAAGATACTAAGCAACCAATTTAAATAAGTTTCTAAAGTTTAATACTTATCATCCCAAAATCTGATAGTCATCACGTCAAGGACACCTATTTTCAAATTACCAAGTCTAAGAGTGTTTAAGAAATCAAAATAAGTGAAAAGATGGTCCATGTCCGAAATTCAAAGACATCAAGACGTGAATGAGAGAATCCAGCACGAGCTAGAGTTAATATCTCACCCTGAGCTCTGATCTGCTGGAGACTAGCTAGAGCTGAGGGCGAGTCGAAGTCGATGGTACACTTGCTGCACTCCACAAAAAAACAGAGAAGAAAATACAAGTAGGGGTCAGTACAATGAACACGTACTGAGTAGGTATCATCGGCCAACTCAAAATAGAAACCAATATATATTGAATAATAATATAAAATCAACTACAATACTTAAAAGGTGGCAAGCAACAAACACATGAACCATTGACAACAACACCATAATAGGTTACCATCAATCACAACATCAAGCACCCCTTTGAGAACTCATGCCTCCACACCATACTCATTTGGAAAATTGGTTCTTTGATATTAAGTATATTAAGTTACATCAAGATTCCTTTCCTTTAATGTTATTGTGTCGGAACGTGACACTCCGATCCCATAATACCGTGTCGGAACGTGACACTCCGATCCAATTATCTCATTATTTTATTTCATCAAGCCTTCTTTATTCAAGGCGTCATTTTAATAGAGAGGGTTCAAGATTAGAAATTCAGCAGTCTCATAATTTTAGGTCAACCACAGACCACACAATCAAAACATACAACCACACAATCAAGTACATAGGTTATCACTCAATACATATCGATCGCTATTTAGAGTTTATCTATCACATAGAAGTAAACCATAACCTACCTCCACCGAAGAATCGAAGTCAAGAAACTAGTCCTTCAATGCCTTTCCTTTCCTTATTGCCTCCGAACTTCTCCAATTTATCAAATATATATGCATAAATCGTAAGTAAACAAGTCTATAAACACATCTTATTATATGTCTAGCCTAGACCCAAAACTCACCTAATCCTATAATCAATTTCCTAAAGTTCAAACCTATGGATAAGTCTCAATTCTTACCATTATCATATCTTTATTGAAATTCAAATAATTCGATACATTTAATATTTAGTTATATCTCGATATATCAAAACTTGATTTATTATATAATACCTTACAATCAAACTTCAACCCAACACACAGGTTGCACCTACATGTTGACGTACAGTAGCTTATTTGAAGTTGTTGCTACACCTTTACATGTTTCCCATCTTCCAAATTCCCAACACCATAATATTATGATAATTAATAATGACCTCCCAGCCATCAAACCAATTTCTACCCCCACTAATACATTATCCCATAAACTTAGTATATTTTTCCTCACGTCCCATTAGCCATTAGTGATACATAATCAATATTAATAACCCACTTCTAATTTTATTCCATATATATAATTTTAATTTAATTGTCAATTATTTCTTTCCATCATTCAGCAACTGATGCCACCCATACTAAATTAATATCTTAATCCTTCAACACATAATACTAGTTTATTAAATAATTCCTTAACTATTCAATATCAACAACATCGGATCTACAACAGTCAACTTTAGCAATTAGTGGGTAGTAATTAGAATGCTTGTATACAATATATTAACAACATGCGTGTATAGGGAGATTAGAATTAGTTTAGCTATTACCTGATGAATGTTTTGTACTTTTGCAAACAATCGATGTCAAACGTCTCCTCTGTTTCTTATTTTCTTATTTTCTTCCTTTCTACAGATCATTTATCACCCTAATTGTATACCTTAATAATATAATGGGGTAAAAGTGACCCCTTATATATTTCATTATTATCTCCTTTAACCACCAACTAACTTAATTATTAAAACTATCCCCCTAATTTCATAATTATATCATGAATAATCCAAACCCAATTAGAACCCATTGAAAAATATTTTATGAAACACAAAGCTTTAGCACTCGAAACGACCAAAGGGCCGTTACAGTCATCTTCCTCATTCTCTTCAATTCTTTTGTGAAATTGCAGGTATATGATTAGGTATCACAGATTCTTCGTCGCCGCATTAAATAGGCCTATTCCCTATTTGATTCTCTAGCATTAAAAGGAGAAAAAAATTCAGAGATGAAGTGACTTAGCTGAAACATTTCACAAAAGCAATCACATTCCCTTGCCATAAATTGAACGATATTTAACGCAACACCAATAGCCCCGTAAGTAGACAGTAACACAGATGAATGAATTTAACAAACTGATTGCTACATAGGATGACAAAAGAAAAGGTCTCAAAAACTTATAGGTTATGGCAAATGCTGCAAAATATTGACTTATAATTGTATTCAAACTCATATACATTTTTTGGCATCTTCAACATTATGAGGATCCACCCAAAGGAAATATAGTATTTCTTAACTGCAATTTTTATGCCGAAGTTACAAACATAATAGATTCCATATTTGAGTTCTCACAATAAAAAATAAAATCATAGCACCTTCGCTGCTGGAATTTCCCTGGAAACACCATAATGTACGCGAGTAATGTATTAGTAGATATCTTGAAACCTTTACCTAAACACTTTTTAAAATATTCTAGTTATATATACAAAATGTTCCTATGTCTAATAAGTAAGAAAAATATATTGTAAAAGTACATGTACGGCATAACGATACAAATGCAGGCATGCATATGGAGAAACTTTTAACAAAGAGACAAGCATGAAGAGAAAAGAGCAAGTAATTTAAAGGTCCTTGGACAACTCTAAAATAAACTTCGGAAGTAATGAGTTCCTCCGAGTTTGGTGCATCATAACCCGCATAGAAGGCCATAAGTAAGATTATCTAACAAAAAGAGAAAGTAAATTGTTAAATAATGATATGCCAAAAATGAAATCAGAAGGTACAAACATACTATTATCCAATAAGGGCATAAAACTAAAACATGGAAAATCTGATAGTAGCTATGTGAGAAGTCATCAAAATTTTTTATCTCAATAGGAACTGTGTTATTCAACTTTCTATATCCTAATCTTTTCTCATTATAGATGACTACACTTTGTGGATTAATACCAATGCAACCATTATTTTGTTGGGTTTTATTTGCCCTAAATTTCTTACCATAAATAGGTTTTCCTTGTAGGAAAAGGTTTTGGATTGACTAATCCTTTTCTTGTAGGAAAAGGTTCAGGACTCTATAAATAGAGGCATGTTCCTTCTAACTTAATCAGCATTCACAATGTAGTCTTAAGGGATTTGAGAGTTTTGGTTAGGGGGAGAATTTATGGGTCACAAGCTTGATACGTTATCACTTGTGTGAACCTCCCATGTATTCCGAGTGAATTGGTCGAGGTTGTTTCTCTCTGTATTTTGTACTCTCATATTTATAGTGGATTGCTCATCTCCTTTGTGGACGTAGTTCAATTGACCGAACCACGTTAAATCTCTGTGTCTTTTGGTATATTTCTCGTTGTCTTCTTACTTGTGGTCTTTCGAGGTTTGCTTTGCTAGCTTCCGCGTATACACCTGCTTATTTCCGATCCTAACAAGTGGTATCAGAGCCAAATTCAATAATGGAGTCACGTTCAGTGGTTCGATAATCGATGATTGAACTAAGTCAGAAAGAGGTGTTCATCTTGACGGGTGTATTTCTAGCTGCAACCTTTTTGACAGTAATGAAGATTTTGTTGGAGAAATTGTTTCAGAGAGATTCTTTGTGTTGAGACATAAATTTTGCAGAGGAGATTATGAAGAGGAGAAGCAAGTTGTTGAAGATTAAGTCAAGAAGGTGGACAAATTTATTTTGTCAGAAATTCAGGCCAAGGGGGAGATTTGTTGGGTTTTATTTGCCCTAAATTTCTTACCATAAATAGGTTTTCCTTGTAGGAAAAGGTTTTGGATTGACTAATCCTTTTCTTGTAGGAAAAGGTTCAGGACTCTATAAATAGAGGCATGTTCCTTTTAACTTAATCAGCATTCACAATGTAGCCTTAAGGGATCTGAGAGTTTCGGTTAGGGGGAGAATTTATGGGTCACAAGCTTGATACGTTATCACTTGTGTGAACCTCCCATGTATTCCGAGTGAACTGGTCGAGGTTGTTTCTCTCTGTATTTTGTACTCTCATATTTATAGTGGATTGCTCAT